TCTACATGTGTATATAATTTATATGTGTATATATACATATAAGATGTATATATGTGTATATATACTGGATGGAGTAGTGTATTATATAAAATGCACTCCATTTGGTAGAAATGTATCATTTATAATCTAAGATTTAAAAAGTCAAACTAGCCCAATTTTTATCTTTTTGCCTCTTGGATACCTCTTAGATATATTTTTTAAAATTATTAAGTGATTCTATTTTAGTTATTAGCTGCCTAAACTCTTTCTACTTCATCCTAAAAAATAGCATGCCTCTGATGAAGAATATGAGCTGCAGACTATCGTCACTGGTGAGAGACAAACTGCACCTAGGTGACAAACAATTAGTGGTATTCATGCAAATTATTTCTTTGCTCTGATTTAATCTTATTGTAGATATTCTGTTTTAGAGAAATAGAATGGTAAGACAACTGAGAACAAAGATACATTTATGGATTTTATTATTATATTTGATATTATATATGCATTAAAAGAATATTCTTTGATCCTTTGACACATATACTTTGATTATTAGAGAGAAACTGGTCTAAGATATGACCTGTGAAAAATCACACCCAAGTGACTGAATTTATTCTTTGTGGTTTTGTAAGCAACCCTGAGATGCAAGTTTCCCTCTTTGTTTTGTTCCTGGCCATCTATACAGTCACTTTGTTGGGTAACTTCCTTATTGTCACAGTTACCAGTATGGATCCTGCTCTTCAAACACCCATGTACTTCTTTCTCAGGAACTTGTCAGTTCTTGAAGTCTGTTTCACCTTGGTCATGGTGCCAAAGATGTTGGTAGATCTAATATCCCCAAGGAAAAGCATCTCTTTTGTAGGCTGTGGTACACAGATGTACTTCTTTTTCTTCTTTGGCAGCTCTGAATGTTTGCTCCTCTCTATGATGGCTTATGATCACATTGTGGCCATCTGTAATCCTCTCCGCTTTTCAGTCATAATGAATAGGTCCCTATGTTTGTGGATGGCTGTAGGTTCTTGGATGTCTGGTGTTCCCGTGTCTGTGCTACAGACAACTTGGTTGATGACCCATCCTTCTGTGGACCAAGCACCATAGGCCACTTCTTTTGTGATGGTCCCCCAGTGTTGAAACTAGTCACCGAGGATACAACCATGTATTAAATGCAAGCACTTGCCTCCACACTACTATTTATTATGTTTCCCTTTTCCCTCATTTTGGTCTCCTACACTTGCATTATTAAAACCATCCTGATGATGCCCTCTGCTACCAGTCACCAGAAGGCATTCTCCACTTGTTCATCTCACTTCATTGTGGTATCCCTTTTCTATGGAACAGCCAGCTTAACCTACCTACAGCCCAAATCCAACCAGTCTCCTGAGAGCAAGAAGCTAGTGTCATGTCCTACACTGTCATCACACCGATGTTAAACCCCATCATCTACAGCCTAAGGAACAATGAAACCAAGGGGGCAGTCAAGAGGAGGATCACTCGAAAAGTCTTGCAGAAGTTAGGTGTGCTTTGAATTCAATTGTGGTCAAGTTTTTCTAAACAAAGTAGGAGCACCAGAACCCATGAACAAAAGCTTTGGAGTGGAAGATTTGCTCTTACTTTGTCAGGGTCACTTACTATGATGGGTGAATCTCAGTGTCTCAGTCAGAGTCCCAGCTCAGACTAGGGTAACAGTTCTTTTATGAAAGGATTATTCACAAATTGTGCGGCAGCTCATATGATGGAAATTCCATGTCTCTTGACCTGAAAGGCAAAGAAAAGAGGTATTAACTGGCGCTTTAGAGATTGCTAAAAATCTAAGAAAAAGCTGCTCATTGGAAGCTTTTTTCTTTAGTAGAGAAAGGCAACAATCTCAGCCTAATTCTGCTCTGACTCTCTTACATCCAATTCTGGTATCTTCTTGATCAAACCAAGTTGAGATAGAGGGCAAGAGTGTCCATGGGTGCAATATAATGAACAACCTTCTAGAGCACAGATCAGAATGGAAAGTTATGAAGGATAAATGAAAATATCTGCCACAAACCACTGTATATTCTGCATTTAATGTGATGCAAAGTCTATCATGTAATGTGTTTTAAGTTAATTTTTAAAAGATAATGAAAGGTAGAGATTTGTAGTTGCCAAAAATTCATGGTGCAAATTCCTTATAAGTGTGGTGGGTTTAAATGAGGTTACTTAAAAAAAAAATTACCTTAGTTTTAATATTTGTTAACATGCTTCTGGACTTCTTTGATCATTGGCTAAATCTGCTATTAATTTGGGTTAATCAACTATTTGCTGTTGTTGTTGTTCAGTTGTTGTGTCTGACTCCTTGTGACCCCATGAGTGCCAGGCCTCCCTGTCCTTCACTATATTCCAGAAGTTGCTCAGATCATGTCCATTGAGCTGGTGACACTGTCTAATCATCTCATCCTCTGCTGCTCCTTCTCATTTTGCCTTCATTCTTTCCCAGCATCTGGATCTTTTCCAACGTGTCGGCTCTTCATATTGTAGCCAAAGTATTGGAGCTTCAGCTTCAGCATCAGTCCTTCCAATAAATATTCAGGATTGGTTTCCTTTAGGATTGACTGGTTTGATCTCCTTGGAGTCTAAGGGACTCTCAAGAGTTCTCCAGCACCGAAATCAGCTATTAGAATCTAAACAACAATCTTGGCTTGACAATATTGTAAGTGAAAAAGAGTAAAGTTAGTAATAGCTAACATGATTTTTCAAGTCACTGCCTTTAACAAATGCACCTGCAACAACCCAAGAGATAGATTTTCTTTTGCATTTATTTTTTTTTTGTAAAATAAAAATTAGGATCAGAAAATTAATTTGAAAAGGCAAAGAGTTATGCAGAGGTGGTCCCGAGAATTTGAATTCATACTCTTTTGAATTTGAAACCCAATATTTTAACCACTGAAAAGTCTCTAGTCACATTTTCATCATGATAAAGACCCCACTTACATGGTAATTTGGCCTTTCAGGAATGAAAGCACCTTGAGACAGCATAGAAGAACAAAATGAATAATTTAATTTTTGAAAAATATCGTATTTCCACTAGCATAAGGGTATATTGACTTCGAATATGCAATTTATATATAATGATATCAGTTGCTCTAAGTCTTTGTTAGCCAGTGTTTTATTTTTAATTTAACAATTTTTTCTTTACGCAATAATGACTCTCAATCATTCTTTGTCAATTCAAGAAAATTTAAAAGTCATCTCAAATTTCCAACTTGTGTTGACTATTTTAGTTTAATTGTGTTTCCCTGAAGTTTGTATCCATTGAATGTAATGGGAATTTGGGTCAGGAAATATCAGTTCCTTTAAATATTTCTCTTTCAGTGGCCTTTTCATTTCTTAAGCCTAACTCAAATATTTTAAAATTAATGTTACTAAGTTCAGTGACCCTCTGGCAAGACTCTTTTGCAGTGGTTTCCTATTAGCTTTATGTGACTCAGAAGTAAATTATGAAATTGTTAAATCTATTAAGTAGTGCATGTGTATGCATTTAATAAACTAGCATAATCAAATATAGAGAAGAATAAAATAAGCCGTATATGAAAAGAATTTATGAGAGTATCTGATGCATGGTAAACACTATGTGGTTGTTTGATAGTATTATTGTTAGAATAACAGAAAATATGGAGTGGACCCCACATATTATAGGGTATGTTTTAGTTATGCATATACTCCCTTCTGATTGAAATGCAAATTAATATCTTCTATAAGATGAAAGCAAAAATGTTCATAAATCATATACCTATTGCATATTCTGTGTGATTGATAGTCTACAAGTTTTTACAGAGAATTTATAATTATTATGTTTCAAATAGTTTTATTAAAATTGATAAAAGTCACTTAACTGCAAGATCTTCATGGAGATGTTTTAAAAAAACTTTTCAGCTTCAATTTACAGGTTGATTTTTTTCTGTTTTTATAAAATTTTTATTTATTTATTTTGGCTGCACTGGGTCTTCGCTGCTGCTCATGGGCTTTCTCTAATTGCATGAGGTGGGGACTGTTCCTCCTCATGGTGTGTGGGCTTCTCATTGTGGTGGTTTCTCTTGTTGCTGTCTGTGAGCTCTGGAGGAGCTATGAAGCATAGGCTCAGTTGTTCCACAGGATGTGGAATCTTCCTCAACCAGGGATGGAACCCCATGTTCCCTGCATTGACAGGCAATTCTTATCCACTGCGCCACCAGGGGAGTTAGATTTTGTTTCTTTAAAGTTCCACAAGCTAATTAACAAAGTCATTATTATATCTGGAGTTCTGATTGAAAAGATTGATTTGATGAGTTTTTCTCTTTTTTTTTTTTTAAATTCATCTGTATTTGTTACAACTTTTTTTTTTTTTGTTACAACTTTTTAAAGCGAATGTGACTTGAGCACTACATTTCCACTCACAAAACTTGTTCCAAGTTACTTTTCCAGTGGCTTTACAACATGCCTGAGCAGGCTCATAATTTTGCTGTTCTAAAGAATATTTTTCTTTGGAAAACAAGCCCTATGTATGGACAGCGACTCCAATCAAGTTGGTTCAGCTTAACACACTAACTTCTAGAGGCCTGGCACATGCAGTCATAACTACTGGGGATGGAAGTTTTAAAAAGTATATTCCAGAAGATGAAAACTTGCTTTAACAAGTGTTTCTTTTAAACATCATGATATATACTTCAGAACACTTCAGTGACAGGAAATTTTGGTCTACTAAAGAATCCACTTGATAGCTAAACACTTCAGACCACAAAGTTAACACAGGATACATACATACCTTACAACAAACATAACTACTTCCATGTTAAAATGAGCCAACATGAAACTAGGAAAAAACAACTAGCTCTGCTTTAGTGCTAAAAGTATCACAGTATCAGACTTAGTATAAAGAAATCTTATCCTCCCCTTATGTAGTTACCATGCCATACAGATTTTTAAATGTTAACAAAAATGAAGAAATACTTGAAAACATACTAGAGGGAATAGAGACAGAGTTCTGAACACATAGCCAAGCGATCCTCAGGCAGCGCTTAGTCTACTTCTTCCATGCGGGACGTGTCATCTCCTTCCAGGGAAGGCATTTCCTCAGTGACCGCAGCACTGCTGTCATCAGCAGTGGGGTCATCCTCGTCAATACCGAGACCAAGTTTGATCATTCTGCAGATCCTGTTGGTGTGTGTCTGGGGATCCTCCAGACTGAAGCCAGAAGACAGAAGAGCTGTTTTGTACAGCAGGATGACCAGATCCTTCACAGACTTGTCATTCTTGTCAGCCTCTGCCTTTTGCCTCAAGGTCTCGATGATGGAACGGTCAGGGTTGATCTCCAGGTGCTTCTTGGCTGCCGTGTAACCCGTCGTTGAGTTGTCTCTCAGGGCTTGAGCCTTCATGATCTGTTCCATGTTTGCTGTCCAGCTGTATGTGCTTGTAACAATGCAGTGTGGGGATGTCACCAACCAGATAGACATAACCACCTTTTCAACTTTCTTCTCCAAAATGTCCTTCATGATTTTGCAAAGGTTTTGAAATTTTGTCTTTTTCTCTTCTTGTTTCTTTTTCTCTTCCTCATCTTCTGGAAGTTCCAGGCCCTCTTTGGTGACTGACACTAAGGTCCTCCCCTCAAACTCCTTCAGCTGCTGCACACAGTACTCATCAACAGGCTCGACCATGTAGATCACTTCCAAGCCGTGCTTCCAGAGATGCTCCACAAAGGCCGAGTTGGCTACCTGATCCTTCGTCTCACCTGTGATGTAATAGATTTGTTTCTGGTTTTCTTTCATTCTTGTGCAATAGTCCTTGAGAGAAACCATCTCATCACCAGAAGCAGAAGTATAGTACCTCAACAGCTCTGAAAGCTTCTTCCAATTTTGAGAATCTTCATGTATTCCAAGCTTAATATTTTTAGAGAACTGCTCATAAAACTTCTTGTAGTTCTCTTTATCTTCTGCCAGTTCAGTGAAGAGTTCCAAGCACTTTTTGACCAAATTCCTCCTGATAACTTTCAAAATTTTGCTTTGTTGCAACATCTCATGGGATATGTTCAGAGGGAGATCCTCAGAGTCCACACACCTCTAATGAAATTCAGGTATGCAGGGATTAACTCCTCACAGTTATCCATGATGAAAACTCTGCGAACATACAACTTAATGTTGTTCTTCTTTCTGCTTTCAAACAGATCAAAAGGAGCTCGTCTTGGGACAAAAAGAAGGGCTCTGAATTGCAACTGTCCTTCAACTGAAAAATGCTTGACCGCCAAGTGATCCTCCCAATTGTTGGTCAGGCTCTTGTAGAACTCTCCGTATTCCTTGTTAGTGATGTCATCAGGGTTTCTGGTCCAGATAGGCTTTGTCTTGTTCAGCTTTTCTTGATCGATGTACTTCTCCTTGATCTTCTTCTTCTTCTTGTCCCCATCCTTCTTCTCTTCCTCCTCCTCATCTGAGCCAATGTCTTCTATCTCAGGCTTGTCATCAGACTCCTTTTCTTCTTTCTCCTCTTCCTCTTTGTCTTCCTTCTCTTCTGCTTCATCATCACTAACTTCTTTATCACGTTCCTTCTCCACAAAAAGAGTGATGGGATAGCCAATGAACTGAGAATGCTTCTTCACAATCTCTTCTCTGTTCCTCCAGGTACTCAGTCTGGTCTTCTTTCAGATGCAGAATAACCTTTGCTCCATGCCCCATAGCTTCTCCTATATCAGTCCTCACTGTGAAGGATCCTCCTGCAGAAGACTCCCAGGCGTACTGCTCATCATCGTTATGTTTGGTGATAACCGTCACTTTCTCAGCCACCAAATAGGCTGAATAAAACCCGACACCAAACTGGCCAATCATGGAGATATCAGCGCCAGCCTGAAAAGCCTCTATGAATGCTTTGGTCCCAGACTTGGCGATGGTGCCCAGGTTATTAATCAAATTGTCCTTGATCATCCCAATGCTGGTGTCCACGATGGTGAGGGTTCGATCTTGCTTGTTAGGTATGAGATTAATGTGCAGCTCTTTCCCAGAGTCTAACTTACTGGGATCGGTCAAGCTCTCATACTTGATCTTGTCCAGGGCGTCGGGCGAGTTTGAAATCAGCTCCCTCAGGAAAATCTCCTTATTCGAGTAGAAAGTGTTGATGATCAGTGACATCAACTGGGCAATTTCTGCCTGGAAGGCGAACATCTCCACCCCCTCCTCCTCCATCGGCTGATTGTGAGCCTGGGTCTCCTCAGGCATCTCGGCTGAAGGACTGAAGGGCTAGCATGGGCTCCGCAGGGAAGAAGCACCGGGACGCAGAGGCAACTCGAGTTTTTCTCTCAAAACAGTGCTGTCTAATGTTTTCTTTACTAACAGTAATTCCAGGATTTGTGGTAGTGGTTTGTTCTCTCAGTTGTATCTGACTTTTGCGACCCCTTGAACTGTAACCGACCAGGCTCCTTTGTCCATGAGATTTCCTAGACAAGAATACTGGAGTTGGCTGCCATTTCCTTCTGCAGTGGAATCTTCCCAACCCAGGATTCGAGTGGGTCTCCTGAATTGCAGGTGGACTCTTTACCGACTGAGCTACAAGGGAAGCCCCAGGGTTTACTTTGGGCCATATATTTTTATCATGGTTACTGTGCTGATATCATTGACTTTTTGCAGAAAACGTTTTGCATAGAGTCCCTCCTTTGTTTTCAGTTTCATAGATGGCTTTCAAATATATGTCCCCACATTGTTATTTACAAGCAATTCTGGAAATATTCCCTTTAAATGTCCTCTAGTTTGAGTATTAGAGGGTGTCCTCCAATGCCAAACCTGGTACACATAAGAAAAGAATTAGCTAGATTGATTATAGTATGCAATCCTGTTACATATATACGGGAGCTGAGGTAAGAAGAAAAAGTGATCAAACATATTTCATATTTCAGTATAGCTTAAAAATTTGTGTGGTCTATTTCAGTGACACTCTAGTCAAATTAATGAATCCAATCCAATGTATATCATAGTTTATATTTATATTTTAATGTGAAGTAAATAAAATTGTCCTAAAGGAATTTTAGATTTTGTTAAGAGACATAACTTAAGAATAATTAACTAGTAAAAATACAATTATATAATGATGACATAAAGCAAAATTCTTAACCTCCAAAGTCAATATTACAATAACAAATACATGCACATTTATAAATGTATTATAAATACTGATAGTGAGTTCTGTGAAAGTTCAGGTAGTAGAGAGAATAAAATGTGTGTAACACAATGATTCACTGTGTGAAATAAAGCCTACAGACTTGATAGTCAGACAGTCACTAGTTTGAATTGAGAACCCAATACCAAGTATTTATCCTCCATGAATTTTCATTTCTGTCCATGTTTTTGGCAAAGTCATTTGAGTTTTATTGTGTTATTACAATTTAATATATTCAGAAAAGAGGGAGCAGGAGTTGTCTATAGATCACTTAGCCTCTGGACTCCTCATTTTATGATTCTAAGGGCAAGGAAGAAACCATCTACCGTGGAGAAGAGATGAAGGCCGGATAGACCATGTATTACCAGACTCCTTTATGGCTACTTTGAACATATGCAACTTAAGCTCAATTAATAATATTTTGGATTGCAATTTAACCATGTAAAGAGGTGGGACAGTGGGAATTCACATGAAGCCAGTGGTTCCCAGAGTCCAGGAGCAAAGGAGACTACAGTGACTGTGGCAGGGCCCAGTGTCCAGTACTTGGGGTGCAAGCTTAAGCCGTGGCATTCAGATTATAGTTGTGCCACAGCAGGGTATTTACACAACTGATTCTGGAGTAGTAATTTAAATTTTCACAACGATCCTACTTTTTCTTACATTTTCCTTTCCATTTGTATGTAGTAGGCTTCTAAATATGTTTTCAATATTTATCCTATGTAAATCATCAAAAGTCAGTTTATTTTTTAAAAATGAAAAATTCTAATGAATAAAAAAAATCAAACAATTCAGGAAGCAAATGTCATTTGACTGAATTTATTTGTAAGTTCCATCAAAATATCTTACACAGAAGCCTGTGAAATGAACATTTTTAAATGAGAGGCAAAAAGTTTTGCATATACGCCGAGGTCCAGCCCCAGTGGGTCTAGGAATACCCAAGGGATGAGTGGCATTGGCGAGGAAGAAGACAGACACACACAGAAGTTTGTGTAGAAGAGGTTACTTTTTTCTTAATTTTTAGGATAGCTCAGATTTTATAGCATGAACGTTACCTCCCCCTTAAGTCACCACATATTACATCAGAGTTTGACTTCATGCTTCTGTCAATATTTTTCTTTCCCATGTTTTTCCCCTATGCATTCATCTAGAACGTTTCCAATTACAGGGTTTTTTCTTAAATATACCATACATTAATCTTCTTGCCTCAATGCCTAACATTTTTATTCTAACAAAACAATATTCTACAAATCTCAGGTATAGTGTAAATTCTTTGGACAATGAAACAATACATGGGAAGGATCACAGTAACATGTTTGACATTTCTGAGAATAGTACCATGAGAAAAACCTTGATATTTTTCTTTACATAAAATTACAAAGTCTCAATTTACAATGATTAACTATTAAGCAGCAAAAACACCTCTAAAGCAGCAAAACACCTCTATTAATAGTGAGATAATGGCAGTGAAGCTGGTTAATATAAATCTTCTATTGATATCCTATGTACCCCATTTCCTAACTCTACAAAAATACCCATAATCTTCCATCTTGTTTAAAGAAAGGGAAACAATGAACAAATAGCAGCAAAGAAAGCAATAATGAAAACCCTCTCAACCAAGGGGCAAGTAAACTGAAGCAGTATATCTAATTATAAATCTAAATGCCTTTACTCTTTTCTATTTAGAACATTATAATCTTTTAAGCAAGCAGCCAAACTATACCTGTGGCCTTTTCTTTCTTTTTTTTTTTGACTTGATGTTTATGGTTGTGTCCTGAGCCAGAGCAATCATGAGCACTTCCAAAAAGGCTTGGACTTTTCCAGGGAGGCCTTATTACTATATATTATATTTCCAAAAATTAATAGAAAACCCAAAAACAGTGAAACAGAAGGAGGAAATGGACATACCAGGCCCCCGGGACAACCTAGAGGGGAAGAGCTGCCTTGCAGGTTCCTCTCTTGTCCCGTGACCTTGTCACCGTCCAGGCATATCCTGGTGGCTCCTGACACATATATATGTAACAATCATATATAAGAGAATTTGATTTCTCTTAAGCACTTTTGATAGAATATATATGATCACTCTTGTGGACTGACTTGTGTCCCCCAAAAGATATGCTGAAGTCCTACCTTATTTGAAAATAGAGTATTTATAATCACATGAAGATGAGGTTATAATGGATTGAAAGTGAAAGTCACTCAGTCGTGTCCGACTCTTTGCAACCCCATGGACTATACAGTCCATGGAAATCTC